GATCCATGTTTTGTCGACGGTCACGAAACGACGCAGAAACTCCTTCGGATTGCACTTAAACAGCGTCAAACACTGCTCTGAAGTGGTCTCACGGTTGCGTTTGTTGTATCTCGCGTATCTTCAATCGGCGGTCTGCCTATACGAAATCGTGAATTTTTGTCACGTTATTCTCCGTGGTAGCCGTTTTCGGGGCACCTGGGCGTGGCTCATCAAAAACCGACGTGCGACCACGTTGAAACTCGTTAAACCAATTTTTGACGGTCGCCATCAAAGGAGAAGAGTCTGTACACAGCATCCAAGCGCTCTTTGACTTCGCTGCGCGATTTCCCTTCCAAAAACAAGAATCGAATCACAGACCGATATTGCTCTTTCTCCATTTTTTTTAAATCAGCGGACTCGGACGTGTCCATCATGACAACGCACCGGCTCACACTTCCGCCCTCGCCATGGCCAAATTGGTCGAATTGGGCTACGAACTGCTACCCCATCCACCATATTCTCCAGATTTGGCCCCGTGTGACTTCTTTTTGTTTCCAAACTTGAAAAAGTCACTCGCTGAACAGAAATTTGCGTCGAATGAGGAGGTCGTCGCCGCCACAGAGGCCTATTTTGCAGACCTCGAGAAAACCTATTTTTCAGACGGGTTAAAGAAGTTAGAGCACCGCTGGGTCAAGTGTATCGAGCTAAAAGGAGATTACGTTAAGAAATAAATCCCCACTTTTCCAAAATTTTCTTTTTTCTTTTGGAGGCTAAGTACTAATCGGACCACCCTCGTACATTTATATTGTTTGATTCTAGTGTCAAATTAAGTTAGGTATTTATAATTTTTTTGATTTTTGGTTTTATAAGTAATCTTTTTTTTTCTTAAATTAAAATGCTTAAAAAAAATGCTCTCTTTTGATCCAAAAAAGATTGTCAGCTTGGATCGTCACCTAATGACGTTTTTATTTACTGTCGTCTCTGCAACATAGTCATACATCCGAAATGTACTGGACTTGTTGGCAGAGTGAAAGACTACACTGGTCGGCATATATATTTTGTCATAGTATTCATTTGACTATCAGACTCTTGATCTAAGTACCGGTGCATTGTTCGAACTGAAAATTATGATAAAAGAGAAGAGCAAATCAATAACTGTTAATATGCAAAATATTTCGTCAATTGTGTTTTGTTTTTTCGTTCTGCTGATAAGAATGCCAGCAAGCAACGATTTTAGCAGTGGCATATATATTTTGTCATTGCGTGATTTAGTTGTTTCTAGGCAAGCTGAAAGTGTTGTTCAAGAATATTATTACAAGTTTTCATTAATATTGGATAAAGTCGATTTTTTAATATTTAAAATGGTTAAAAAATCTGAGCTGAGCGCCAAAATAAGATCGGAAATTGTGATCAAATATAACTTGGGTGTTTCTGTAATAAACATCGCTGAGGAATATAATTTGTCTCGTCAGACCATTTATTATCAAATCAATAAATATAAAAAATTTAATGATGTGATCAATGTTCACCGTAAAGGCAGAAATCGAAAGACTACAGCTCATGAAGACCGTCTTATCGTCCGTGCTTTTAAGAAGGACCCTTTAAAAACACCAAAGGCTGTGTCCTTAGAGTGGGATGAGACTGCATCCACTTCCATAAGTGAGAGAACAATACGCAGGCGTTTGATTGAAGCAGATATGAAAACATATATTGCAAAACCAATTCCTTTTATCACCCCTAAAAATAAACTAAAGCGTTTGGAGTTCGCGAAAAGATACATCACCAAGCCCGCTTCATTTTGGCGTAATGTCCTGTGGACAGATGAGAGTAGTTTTGAATTCCACGCATCTCAAAAGAAAGTTTTTGTAAGAATTAACAAGAATTACCGTAAAAAAAATGCTCCTGTGTGTCAAAGAGTAAGTCATGGGGGTGGAAGCGTAATGTTCTGGGGTTCAGTTTCATATAATGGTGTGGGAGACTTGGTTCCCATAGACGGATCCATGAATCAGAATTATGCATTTCCCTCCGGCGACAGATTAATAGGAAAAGAATTTATTCTCCAACAGGACAACGCTCCTTGCCATAAGGCTAGAATGATTACTAGGTTTTTAAGAGATGTCGGGGTGGAAACTCTCGATTGGCCGCCACAAAGTCCTGATTTAAACATTATTGAAAATGTGTGGTCGCTAATAAAGCGAGAAAGAAGCACTGATCTGACCAGGACAAAAGCAGAAACCGTCACTGAGGTTACAATGAATTGGAAAGAGGTTCCCTTAAAATACCTTCAAACCTTGGTCGATTCCGTTCCGAATCGCCTGCAAAAGGTCATAGACACCAAAGGAGGGTATATTTTTTATTAATTTCCAGTTTCAAATAAATTTATAAAACAAAGTAGTTAATTAAGATGAAAAAAGAAATTTTGTCAAAATACTTATGCCACCCATGAAATGACTTAGTTTTTAGTTTTAATTAAATTAAAAATCTAAATGAATGTTAAAAATGAAAATTTGTTATATTTATAATTTAATACAATGTAACTAAATGAATTATGTACAATCCATACATTTTTTTATATTTAAAATAAAAAAAAATTTAAACAGAAACTGAGGCATCGCCATGACAAAATATATATGCCGACCAGTGTATATTGATCTGCGTGTTTGTTTTTCGTGGACTTCTCCTTCGTGCGTTGAAATAGACCGTGATTTGGATGGCTATGTGGCGCTGATCAATGATCGTTTTAAGAAACTGTTTGATAAACTTATGAGCGTAGTTGCTGATTTCAAAGAGTTTAAGGCTGACCTTGATAATAAAAAAATGTCAGTAGTCACGTAAACGCAAAAAGAAAAAAATTTAAAATCTGTTGAAGTAAAGGCATCAGTCTCAAATCCTAACTTAGCTTCAAATATATTTACCGACCGGAAACGGCAGCTATGTCGGCATCCACTGGCGCTGGAGGACCTAAAGCTTCACTGCCAGCAGTACCCATAGGTACCAAAAGCTCTGAAGGAGTTCCTGTTTCTGCTAGTTAGCCTAAGGGGACAAACACTACGCAGCTTTCTGTGCCTAAAGGTGAAGTTAGCTCTATAGGAGTCCCTGGTCTCGATAATCTGACGAACGATGTTCAGATTGCTGGTGACGGAAGAAGGAGACTCTCGGTTGTTCCATATAGGAAGCAATTATTTGTGTCTCGTCTAACACCTGAAACCACATCTGCAGATGGTTTGGAATTTATACACCAGGAATTTCCATCTTAAAACATCACAGTGGAGGAGTTTAAATATTCATATGTTCGTAGGATATCTTCATTTAAAATATCTGCTCCTCCTGAAGTATTTAATGTACTAAATTCTTAACGTTTTTGGCTTAATGATGAACTGGTCATTAAAGAATTTGTTCAAAACAGACGGAGAACTAATAATAGGTCTTCCACGATAGTACCTGCGCCAAAAAACTGAGCAGTTTATTTTCGGCCTATTAGAACGATGGTCTTTTTTTGCGGATTGATGTTCATTCTATTTTTCGATTAGGCTTTTAGCTTATCTCCCTCCATCAAGGGTTGAAAAGCAAACAAAAGTTTCCTCATCACGAATAAAAAGCCTACCACCAAAAACCCCTACAGAATTAACAACTTTTTGATTTTTTTATTGAATATTGAATAATACGGATTTTGTTAAACTATTTATGTATAGTTTTCATGGTGCCAGTGATGCTGCCAGCGGTGGTGCCAGTGGTGATTGCATCTGTTAACGAAAACTCGACGACCCAAGATGCAGTCATACTAAATATATCGGTCCAAAACGCGGTCGGTTCCGCCCAAAAAAAAGGTGAAACCACAGAATTTTCGGGGGGTTATGATATTCTCTAGGTCAATAAGGAAAAAAATTAAAATAACACAAATGTGCAATTTCATATTATGAAAAAAGGTTTTAATAAAATGTTTTCATTTGAGATTGATGTCCAAAGACCATTTACACAGAAAGTAAATTTAAACTAGTTTACTCCAAAACAAAGGCAAGGATAGTAAAAAAAAATAATTTTGACATTTTTCAACAAAAGAACAGGTATTTCAATCATACCACTTTCATGATGCTTACTCTTTATTTATAGCTGCTATGTTCGAACAAACTTTTCTTACAATCCTTACCTCACTCTCCCTTAATCGTTACTGATGATTTTAATATTTTTATACTTGTCAATAACGATTCATTCGTTTTCGACCCCATAAAGTATATATACGTATTCTTGATCAGCATCACTTTCATCTTTTATAGGTAGTATATAAGTCGGAACCAGCCGGATCGGACAACTATATCTTACAGCTGCCATAGGATTAATCAGAAAAAAATTGTTAAAAATTATATCTTTGGTGTTTTTAAACATATAACGTCCTACGCTTGGAAATAACATTTTTTAATTAGTTTGGAATTTCGAATTTCATTTTATCAAAATCAGAAGGCTATATCATAAAGCTTCCATAGGAACGATCGAAAAATTGGTGGGAAAATAATACGAAACATGAACGGCGGCCAGACACTCCATCTCCGTGACCGAGTAGTTTAACTGGTGCTTGTTCAGCTTGGCCGAGAAGAACGCGATAAGCTGCTCTTTTCCGTCTTTGTTCCGCTTTGTTCGGGTATGGCATCCCCTGAGTAGCAGAAACTTCCTCTGCAGAAAAATGGAATTAATTGGTGAACACTTTCGTGCAATCATTTTTCACAGCTTTCGAAGTAGATTATCACGATAAGATAGCATCCATAAACTGAAATGTTTTTATGGAGATGAAGCAACATCCTATAGCACTGTGAAAATTTCATGAATTCAATCGTGGCCGACGCTTGCTCGAAGTAGAGCTGGAGAACAATCGATGGTGGGACCATCGATGGTTTTCGATTGTTTTAGAAAAACAATCAATGGACTATCGATGGTTTAAAAAAAAAATTAAATATATAAATAAAAAAAACGCCAAAAATTTATATTTTGAGATCAAATTCTTTAAATTCAAATTCAAAATTCTTATTAATAAATAACAACTGGTCTACAGTTTTGGACTTCAGCGCGCATCGACGGTCTGAAATTATTTGTCCTGCCTTACTTAAAGTCCTTTCGGAGGCACAGGAGGATGCTGGGACGCACAGATATTCTTTAGCGAGGACCTTGAAGGCTTGAAAATCATCGTTGGTCATCTGAAAAAGACTTTTTTGGTTAATCTGTACAAATAGTTATACATGTCTAATACTAACCTTCCAGCTTGGTTGTGGTGGTGCTGGAGCTGTGGAACTAGCATTCGAATTCATAGACAATATTTCGTAGAGCTTCAACTCCAAAGCCTTAGCAGCTTGTTCAGCATTCGATGGTAGAAAAAGCCTTCCTTTTTGAAGCGTGGATCTAGCAGTGTCGCAATTCTAGGGACAGTTCGTGATTTATAATGATAAAATCGTTCTTTGATGCGAATTTTGATCAAGTCATGAGCATCCTGAGCCGCTTTTGAAGAGCACTTTATTAAATTCATTTTTTGATACAACAGCAATTTTATCCGCTGAGGCTTGTTTGCTTGCATCATTAAACAGTGACATTATTGCGCACAGTTCTTTTAAAATCTCAATTTCTTCAATTGAAAATGGCTGTGGGGCCTTTGCTGTGTTTACCAAAACATAGGAAATAGCGTCATGAGTCTTGATGATTCTTTCCATAATAAAAAAAGCGCTGTTCCACCTTGTAGGAACTTCCTGTATTAAAGTATATGGCATACTTACGGCCTGCGCTATCTTAAACTTTTCAGTAGCTATTGTGCTGCTTTTAAAAAAAGTTACGATGCGTTTACACTTGTTCATAATCTAAGAAAAACTTTGCACTTTCAATACCTCCTGGACGAGCAAGTTTAAAGTATGTGCGAGGCACGGCAGGTGTTTAATTTTAAGGAGATCGCAAGCTTTTTTCATTGTAGCATCATTGTCCGTCACTATCGTGGTAATCTTGTGCAGCACGGACCATTCTAAAAAAATGTCCTGTAATGTCTCCGCAACATTGGCGGCAGTGTGATTGGTTGGATTTAAAAGCTTTCTGGTGGCAAGGACGGCTGATTTCATTGAAAACTTGGATTTATAAGCATTACACACGCACACATACACACACATGTACAAGTGCCAAAGCGCATTTACTTACTTTTGAGAAACTTGTCCATAATCCATTTCAGGCCACTGCCAGCACTAACACCACCACTTTTAAGCTAATAAAACAATATAAAAATAAGTAAACTGTGTAATCAATTTTACTTTTTTATGTACTTACATATTAATTCACTTGTTCGCTTGCCAACTCCCGCTAAAAAAGTGATGGGAAAAGCATAGTGATGGGCAAAAAAAAAAGGAAAACCATCGATAGTGAGAAAAAACAATCGACTTTCACGAAATTTTGAGACAATCGATACTATCGATGTTTCCATCGATTGTTCTCCAGCTCTAGCTCGAAGACGATAGTCAAGAAGGTCATCCAAAAACAGTCGTTGAGCCAATGAACTGATAATTCAAGATCGTCATGTGACATACCGTGAGATAGAGGAATCCTTAGGTATTTGCTCCACCAGCATACATTCGATATTGCAAGAACAGCAGGCCGTAAAATTGATAATCGCTCAAAAGGCTTGTTTTTAGTGGATTGGTGCAAAGAAATTTTCGAAAAATACAATCTATGCACATACCAAGTCCTAACATTCTAGCTTTTATAGTTTCCGAGATCTCAGCGTATACATACTTTCCGACGAATCTAGAATGCCCTCTTACTCTACGAGTAACGGGTTTAAAAATACATTCATTGTGCTTCACCGAAGATTTTTTTTATATTAAAGAAAGTATAATTTAAAAAGCAATGTCGTTCCTTAAAAAAAACACAGAAAAAAGTTTTGAACTTTTCATACTTCTAGGACCAAAGGTAGCTAGCCTTGAATTTTAGAAAATTCCCTTCTGAAATTGGAACCGAATAATAACTGAACAGAATAACTGAAATTAATCTACAAATTACAAATTAGAAATATAAAAACCAATAAAGTTACTATTTTGAGAAAAGAATCATGGTCGCGCATGATGTCGAACCATTTGTCTTACGGTTTCCAGTCAACTACTCTTCTAGCTGCGCCACGGAAGCATCACGTGAGGCGCCGTACAAAGTCTATTTAGATTTCGTTCTCTTGGGTTCTGGGTGTATAATGTTTTTTTTTTTTAATGATCTGGCTCTTTTCTGGTTATTCCCCCTATTTGTCCATTGATTTTTGTTTGTGAATATGTATTGATTAATATTTATATTATAATAACAATATACATTTTATTTTGGTTAATAGTATTAGAACAGTAATTTAAATATGACAAATAAGCTCAAAAATTGTATGATTTATTATGTACTGATTAATAATAATATTATAATTAAAATATTATCGAGTTAAGAAAAAAAGGAAAGACAGTGATTTGTTCTCCTCGACGTGGAATTGAACCCACACTTGCGGCTATACGTTTACATAAAATATGTATAATGCGCCTGCCCCTGGGCTGCCACTCGGACGGACAGACGGACATGGCTAGATCGACTCGTCTAGTGATGCTGATCAAGAATATATATACTTCATGGGGTCGGAAACGTCTCTTTTACTGCGTTTCAAACTTCTGACAGCAAAACACCATGAGAATCACAGCGAAAGAGAAACAACCAAAATTATCCACAAACCATTTCTTCTTTTCCATAATATTGGATCCTCCTGAGTAAAAGTACGAGAAAAATTTGTGGTTCATCACAGAGCTAAGAATTCAAAAAACCGATGTCGGCCAACATTCTGAATTAAGTGGCCTATATAATAACACCAGTTTACAAAAAAAAATTTATGAAATACGTCTTTCAGGAAACCTTTGTTTTCCGGTAAGATACATCTCCCTGATTAAGAAAAGGGCACTTAAAATTTGTTCTATGGTACCAATTTTTTTTAAAGTGTAAAAAACGTTTTTCGCACTTTTTTATTTTCTAACTCGAGTTGTGATAAACCGAATTCGGTCATCAAAGACTCATTTTACAGGTAACAGAATGCCCTTTAACTTTCCTATACACATCAATGAGTTTCATTCATTAGTTTAAAAGCTACACTTCGTCAAAGTTGAAAAATTTGAAAAAAATTTAAAAACGCTGGCATAAATTGGTTCTTTAAAAATACACGCCTAAAAACCGAAATTAGTTATATGTTGCTTTCTTGAAGGCTGGACCTCAACGGAGAGTATGCGCCATTGATCACGACAATCCGTTGGTAAATCGATTTTTTACAGATTTTTAAACGTATATACCCAAGTCCAGTATTCGGGAGCAGCGGCCGTTAAACATTATTTTAAATTTTCAGTGTTGGGGAACGTAAGAATTTGGTGTAAATTGTAATGCAGAACGTCAGTTTCCTTGCCACAAATATGTGAAAATGGTTTCCTTGTAACTGCAATCGCATACTTTTTAGCTTGCCTAGCACTAAGAGCAAGGAAATTTGAAATTTGTTCAGCTGTAGGAGCCATACGTTCAAAGGCGTAGCGACCAATAGCATACGTCGGAGAAAGTAGTGATGCAATATAAATGTGTTAATCGAGCCAATCAAAACTAAATTGAACTCATGCATAACCAAAGACCAATATCCTCAAGTAATACAATTGGATAACAAGTGAAAATACAAAAAAAAAACATTGGAAGCATTCAAACATGCACCGAAATACATTTAAACCAACCGAATCAATAGACAAAGTGAGAATCATAAAGAACGAAGGAGGACGAATCTCTCCACCAGCCGTTAAAGAAGTCGTATGCCTTTAACATAATAAATAAATATATTTTGTGTTTAAGTGAATTGGATACTTAGGAACACCCGTATTTTGGTGCACGTATATTTAGATATATATATCCAATATAATATTTTCCCAACGGTCACAAGCTCACTCTCATAGAAAACAGTGGTGCCTTTCTATCATCGTTACAAATCCAAAGCTTATCTTACAAACCAACATACAAAAAAAACAACAATAAAAAACCAAACGGTAACTGCAAGTCTAAGAAGTGCAAGTGCCAAGCATAACCTACGCTCCATAAACGTAGCAACGGCAAGATGGGGGACCCACCCGACCGGGGTCCACCAACTACCCATAGCAATAACATGGAACTCCTAGAAACACCTGGCCCTAAATACATTACCATATCTAGATCAGATCCGAATCTCGATCTAAACAATATATCACCGTTCTTGATCAAGAAGCAAATCGACTTTGCCTGCAGCGGTGAAGTAGAGGAATGTAATAAACTCCGAAACGGAACTCTACTAATTAAAACAAAAACCAACCTTCAAGCAAAGAGATTATTCCAACTGAAAGCCTTCGCCGAGATAGTCGTCAACGTCCCACTTCACAACTCTCTTAATTTTACCAAGGGAGTCATATACTCTAACGACATTAGAGGAATCGACGAAAGCATAATAAAAAGAGAACTAGCTAATCAGCTAGTCTGCGACGTGAAGAAAATACTGAAGAGACAAAACGATACTCTTACAGAGACCGGCCTTGTAAATCTCACCTTCAACACTCTTACATTCCCTTGCCCCATGCAGAAACAACAAACTACAACTGCGGACGAGAATACCACTTGGACACAAACGACAAATGCACAAGACCCGCACATTGCGTAAACTGCAAAGAAAACCAAGCCCCCGATCCCCAAAAATGCGACAACAAAACTGCTCTCTCCATCTTACTATCTCGTTACTCAGTCACCACCCCACACTCATACGCATCAATAACTAAAACTACCCAGCACACACATCCAAACCCTACACCACAAGGACCTCAACATCTCAAAGGACCCAACCACACCCAACAAGTACCAACTACCTCAAGGACTACCCCAACATCAAACGCAGACCTCACAAACATAAATAATAACTTTGATAAACTAAAACTAACCAAACCCACCAAACCAACCACCAACACTGTCCAAATCCTACCGCTTACCACGTCCAAACGCATGATCGCAAACCTCAAGGATGCAGCCAAAACCACCACTAAGAAAACAAAAAAAAACTCAATTACGCCTGAGAATGCTTCTAGCGACTCATGCGATATGGAAATTATCTGAAATCACCCTTACTAACCTAGATTAATAATTATTCAATGGAACATAAAAGGCAACAAGAACAATTAGCAAGAACTCCTCAAACAATATAACCCACATATAATTGCCCTACAAGAAACCCATATATCTCACACAGAATCTCTACCTACCACTGTAAACTTTACACTTTTCTGCAGCCAAAATACTAATGCATTTTGAGGCACAGTGATTCTGGTGCACAATTCTATCTCCCACACGCAACACCAACTGATACCAGAGTTTGAAGCTATTGCAATTCTGATAAATTCCAAAACAAAACTTGCACTAATATCTACATACATCTCTCACAACAAACAATTTTGCACAAGCAACCTCCAAAACGTCTTTTCCCCAAAAAACCTACCCACAATAGTCCTAGGTGAATTCAACAGCTGGCACCCATATTGGGGTTCCCCCAGAGCCAACTCTAGGGGCAACATTGTTGCCAAATTCATAGACCGATCAGACTATATACTCCTAAACGAGAAGTCTCCAACACACTATTCCACTCACAACACATTTACACATATAGACCTCTCTCTTGCCACTGCAGACATAGCGCCTGAAATAAAGTGGACAGTGATCGACGACCTTCACGGAAGCGATCATTTTCCTATCCTTATTTCTATGTTCCCAAACACTTCCTCTCCATCCCTTCTCGCCAAACCATCCCACTATGGGAAATTTAACCACTTTTTCTGGCCAAAACCCATTTTCTGAAAGTCGGAAATTTAAAACCATTCTTAGTGCAGCTCACTCACAATAAATTTATCTCCATTATTTACAGATGACGCCACAACAAAACAAGGAAGAACGCTATAGTCGAGTACCTCGACTATCAGATACCCGTTACTCAGCTAAATAGAGATATGCAAGCAGCAAAGCGAGATTAAAATGCGCCACCTACCGGCGGTATACAGATTTAAGCGTTATGGGCGTTAGAGTGGGCGTGGCAAATTTTTTTGGATCAATCGATAGGTATTTACGAGACCAATAGATTTCAGTTAAAAGTTTTTATCTAGCATGAAAATTGTGGGCGTCACAAGTTTTTGCGATTTGTGGGCGTTAAAGTGGGCGTGGCAAACTTTTTTTGGGTCAATCGATAGGTATTGATGAGAACATTACATTTCAGCTAAAATTTTTATTCTAGCATCAAAACTGTAGGAGCCACAGTTTTGGGCGGTTTGTGGGCGTTAGAGTGGGCGTGGCACTCTACTGAAACAAACTTGCGCTGCGTAAGAAGCTCAGGAATCTGCACGCCAAATCTCAATAGCCTAGCTCTCATAGTTTCCGAGATCTCAGCGTTCACCCGGACGGACAGACAGACGGACAGACGGACAGACGGACATGGCTAGATCGACTCGGCTAGTGATCCTGATCAAGAATATATATACTTTATGGGGTCGGAAACGCTTCCTTCTGCATGTTACATACTTTCCGACGAATCTAGTATACCCTTTTACTCTACGATTAACGGGTATAATAATCAGCTGATAAACGCAGCTGTTGCATTTGCAACAATAAGTTTTCTTTGCAAACTTTAAAAGGCCAAAAGTAAAAAACTAGTTAACATAACCCAAAGTTTTAAAATGAATTCAAATCTGTGTGGCTTGTATTATGTGTTTGTGAATGTCCCCTGTAGAAAAAACTCGTGTTGTCTTTTTATTAGATCCAAAATGTAAGTACCCTTGAAAATGCATATTTTTGACAAAGTCTTCTCTTCTAAAAGGAATTTAA